TGAAATGCAGGGCTAAATACCCCTGCATTACGGCGCTGAAATATAGACCTAAAAATCCAAAGATTATACTTCAGTAAAATAAAGCCTTTAGGCCTAATCCATATTCAAAGTCTTGTCTCTAGCTGGGCTGCGGGCCTCTATAACCTAGTTCTGACGGCTGTTATTGGGGAAAGCTGCTTTGTACTGGTCAGTTGTGTGATGAGGGCTTGGACACGGTCTGTTGAGTTGACCTATATTTGGCTGCCTGCCCTCTCTGCGCAGTCAAAAACCCAGAGCTTCCCTCATGTTTTGTTCTATAGGCAAAGTGGGCCGCAGGGCAGTCTCCTCCGTTCTCGTGATCCTGCTCTCTGATCTGGTTCGAGCTTTAATGTAACGACATGTGAAATATTTCATGCATACGGATGCCCCCAGACAAACTGAAGTATTCATGCAGGAACAGAACTTCATTCAGCAGCAGTGTGGAGGAATTTGTAATGTGGCTGCGGCGGCGAATCGACAGCTAACATGATCAAATAGTCAGGGATGGTAATAAAAGAAATCTCCATGGGCTGAGCTGAATGCTAATGCTAACGTCTGCAAGCTAACATGCTCACCATAGCTGTGTTCAGGGGCTGCAACCTTCAGAGGCTGCATTTGAATACCAATTGCGTCCCCACCCGTTGGATCCTTCGCGGCCCAACCTGTCCTAAGATTCATTGCGTGCCAGTTATGAAAGTAAACACCGACAGAGACTGGTTAGTTAGTTGGTTAGTAGTCCAAATGAGGGAAGCATACAGGCTCGACTCGTTTTGTTTTGCTAGCTGAAAAGTCAAAGTGCATCCTTGCTCAATTCAATAGAGCTAACTGGTGAGCTAATGTAGCTGGTGAGTTAACGGGTAACACTCTAGCTAGCTAGGAAGAAGCTAATGCCGGTCACTCTTCACCTCATTTTGTTCTCAGGATTGTACACAATCTCATTCAGTGAAGAGGAAACAAAAAGCTTCCCACGCTAGTTTACTTGCTAGTTAGCAAGTACAATACGTACACACTGTTTAGTCATGGTCTCCCGAGACCCATTCGTCTCTTGTGGAGCAGCTTATGTGCTGACACCGAAGGTTTTAATTAAACTTGGTAACGGCTAATAAATTGCTAATAAGCTACAATAGCTTCCTCCATTTTGGACTCTCCGGCTCTCTGTCACCTTGGAAGTTAGCGCTGTTTGCATGTAAAAGTTCACCAATGTTGAACTTGATGTAAAATAATTGCCTGGTAGCTCGGTGGCTAATGTTAGCTACTGAAAATAAACTCACTGTTTGACTCTTCACTTCTTGTGCTAGTGTTACTCTATGATTTAGCATGTCACAGATAAACAAGCTCTAATCACACACGACGTTTGTACTTTTAGTCCCACACCTGTCCTCTCAGTTAAGTAAGCTAATGATGATGTATTTGAAGCAGCGTAGTAAAGGGAAGGAAATGAAGGGAATTTCAGTAGAAACAGAACAGAAAATATGGTATGTTTGTGGGTGAGCATATGTCAGTTATGCAAATCATTCAAACGTGAATCACTGTGATTCAAGCAGAAAAAGAAGGGGATTTGGTATTGTATGCCTTTTTAGAAAGAAAGAGGGATGGAAACGGATTAGGATGAGTAGAGGTGATAATGAGAGTGATGACATCGTGGTGTGATTTACTGGAAGAGCAGGGGGACAGGGAGGAGAAGGAGGAAGGCAGGCGGGAGAGGGAAAGTGCAGAGGAGGGATGAAAGATGGTGACTATCCAGAAAAGGTGACGAGTAAACACGTTTTTGGGTGGGTGGTGCTGGGAGGCCTCAGGTGCTCTGTATTGTCGCGGGTTCAGATCCAGCCAGCCGCCTCTCGGGTCATCCTCCTCCTGTCTCCTCCTCGGCTGCGCGTCGCCTAATAAAGCCGAAATGTGCCGAAAAGACGAGGAGACGCTGAAATAGGTCAAATGAAGAGAGAGAGAGGGAAGGAGAGAGGAGGAAGTTTTAGAGGCAGAAAGGCAACAAGAGGGAGGAGGGGAGGATGCATGAGGAGGAGGAAACGAGACGGGTGGTGAGGGGTGTGTGTGTGTGTGTGTGTGATGAAAATAGGTAGATAAAGACAAAGAACACACACTCCAAAATGGAAGACGAGCAAAGCCAGGTCAGCCATATTAGCAGCATTCAGTGACCAGTGATTGTTGCCTAGCAGCGTGCAAGAATATTCTCCTCTCCTCTCTTCTCCATCACCCTTCTCCTTTTCTTGTATCTCTCTTTTCTCCTCACCGTCGCCTCCTCCTCTTCTCCTCTGCGTGTTGTTGTTCTCTCTCTCTCTCTCTCTCTCTCTCCACCCCTCTTTTCCTTTCACCTTTCCATCTCCTCCCTCCTTTCTTTCATCCCTCCACTCTGCTTCACTTTGTTTTTTCTTTTTTACCTCGGCGCTATGCTAGTGCTGCCTCATGCCGCCAGCTCTCTCTCTCTCTTGTGTGCATGCAAGTCGTGTGTGTGTGTGTGTGTGTGTGTGATGACGAGCCTTTCATCAGTGTGTAAAAGCTGGCTGATGCAGCCGTTACACCAGCTCTGTGCTGCATCAGGATTACATGGCACATGTGAAGCCCGTGTCCTCCTACGCTTGGTCAAATACGGGATGACACATGGCATCAAACATGTGAGTGTGTGCGTGCGTGTGTGTGTGTGTGTGTGTGCGTGTGTGTACTTACGCCAGTGCTATTGATGCGAGGACTCTGATACTTCAGGTTGCAGACAGGTTTTGCAAATGAGGTTGTTTACAGCACGTGTTTCATGCTGATAATTTAATCCCATATAGTTGTATGGTGACTCCTGTTGCTGCTGCTGCTGCCACCATTATTACGACTTCACTCTCACTGCAGCTAAGTGACAGTTTTGCAGCTGTGACATCGAGCAGCATTTGCCAGGTTTTGTAATTATGCATAAAATCTGCGTCTCTCTGGTTCACGCATGTTTTCAGAAGATGTCACCTTTAAGTTGTGTGATGTGAAAATCATCCATGTCCATGTTGCTGTGCGGAGGTTATACACAGCTAAACAACACGTGCGCATCTTAAGTCTTAACTGACGTCAGATTCGCTCTGTCTTCGTTCAACAAACAATTGCGAAACCTCTGCCGGTCATCTGTCATCGGCGCCGTTAAAGGATGAGGCTGGAAATGTTCCTTGTTTTCTTTTTGTCAACAAACAACATGAAAAAGACAAAAACCAACAATGAACTGATCCTACTAACAAATATTGTGTGTGTATTCAAAGCCTGACATATCTTAGTCCTCTGTGCCGCAGAGCTCCACTGAAGGAATATTTCAACATGTATCAGTGAAGCGCGCTGTTACTCTGGGTGACACTGTAGTTTATTTTGAATTAATCCCATATACAACGTCCTGCTTCAGGTGATACTCAGCAGAACACAGAATGTATATTAATCCACGTCTGAAAATAGTCCCCAACAAATGCACTGTTCACTCTTCAAGGAACATTTGCTAAAAGCTACAGACAGACTTTGGGAAGTTGGAGAGTATTAGGAGATGGACTAACACACTAATCTACAGTAAGATGTCATTACTGGACTGCTTTTTTATTTCTACCACTTCTTAGCAATAGCTAATAGTTTAAGCAGTACAACTACTATAGGCCGGGAAGACACTGCCTGCGTGGCGTGTGCGTAGCAGCTGCGGAACATCTTGGTTTTCATTCTGGCGGCCATTTTAACGTGTTAGAGTGGACACACTACCGTTGATCTAGAGATTTGGTGTCTGGGGTATTTTTCACACGTGACGCGCAAAAATACACAGAGGAAAAACTTGTTGACAGTCGTATTGACAACAGGATTACATAAAATCTGCAGTTTTGATGTCTCAGATGAATCAGAATATGACACAGACGTGAACAAATTTTGTTTTTTTTTTACAACCATTTGAGCAGCTGCATGCGGCACCGACTTTCTGTCAAAAATAAATCAGAAATTAATTTACGCTGAAAAGAAATCCAACATTCGAGTAGCCTGCAAAGTGTATGCAGAGAGACAGAGCTGGCAGCAGCAGCAGCAGCAGACAGTGTGTTTCTGCTGTCATAGTAGAAGTACTACTTCTACTACTCTGAAATACTACTGTTGGAGAACAAAGTACATTCATGCCTTTGGAGTTCTGGCTGTGTGGGCTCGACCTCAGGTACAACACCTTTATACCAGCTTGTGCACAAACTGCTGTAGCACTGTTTGCTGCAAAAGTGTGGCAGATGTTTTACTCTATTCATCTTTATATATCTTAATTTCTCTTTATCTTTCTGTATTTATCTCTTCACCTGTTTTCATCAGGACTGGAAATACCTTTGTTGGAACATGTACAATGTGCTCTGGAATTACTACTTGTGTAATCTGTGCTGCAGCAGTACTACTGCTGTTACTTTTATCCCTGCCCCTACCACCAGTTATGTTACTGTCAGCGCTGTGAGGTCTGCACTCTTTCTTCTCACTGGCCTAGATTTCACGTTGCGTAATGTACTGGCGCACCTGTCCAGGATGTGTCACTGCCCTTTGCTCCAGCTCTGCATGACCCTGAACATGAATGAGGCAGAGAGAAGATGTAAATACTGTATAAATAATAACAGAACACGTCAATTAGCACTGGTCAAAATGTTCCACTAGAGTCTGTGTTTTAAGAGTTATCATGTCAGAATGACGCACGCGGCTGGAATCCAAATATTAATAGAAATATACTGGCAGTTTGGTTTGTCAGTGATCTTATATTTTTGCTATAATCCTGTATGTGTCTTTGCAGCCGTGTGTCTCCACCTCTTCCTTCACTGTAACGTCCATATCTGTGTTTCCTGCGAGTACAGGAGTGTGGGAGAGCGTGGGTGTGACAGCCACTCAGCCTAAATGGTGACATGTCAGGGTGTCTTTAGTAATAGTAAAAGAGTTGCATGTTCCCTTGTTTTCCAGGAGGTATGCCAGTGCCTGAGGTGGCGTCTGACACTGCCAGCGCTGCCACCATGTTGAGCCCCGTCCTCAATGCCTCCAATGGAGACGGCTCCGAGTCTGAAACCACCTCCGCCATCCTCGCCTCCGTCAAGGAACAGGTTAGAGCTATCTCTCTCTCTCTCTCTGTGTGTGTGTGTGTGTGTGTGTGCGCATGCAGCATACACATTGGGGTTGTCACAATTAATGAAATATGAATACCAGAAAGAAATGAGGATAATTCCTCCTGTCCTTACAGGGTGAGACAAGGCGACAGTACACAGTAAACACGAATGATTGAATGCCCATCTGAGCTAATGTGTCACAAATATGTCGCCACATTTTGATCTGTTAGTGGAAAAGCCTCGGGCTGCAGCCGCTCGGTGTAATTTTGAAAACGCTCTAATGTGGTGGGATGCATCATTTCCCACATTTTGTCAAAGTCTGAGCAGCTTTGTTGGTTTACTGTGTGTGACATGGCAGTTAAAGGGACAAGACAAAGTTTCCACCTTGATGTTTTGCCTTTTGAATCCTAAAGAGATAACTGTTCAGACTCGAGCTGACTTGTGCATTAAGGTGTGCATCCTCATACCTGTCCTATACATGTGTTGACATACGGACGAATAGCAGATCACGTGTTGTTTATGTTACATTTTTCCTGGCTTTAAACTGTTGTACTTGTGTCACCTGGCTGTTAGCGGTCAGGAGTGAGCTCTGCTGCACCTGTAACCGCACTTCACTATGTGACACACTGTGGAGTTCACTTCTACTTCACGTTTTGATAAAAGTGAGATTTTAAACCACTGGAGGCGAGCAAAAAGAAGACGGTGTTAAGTTGGTCTTTATCCAGTGAACCAACTAGTCCCCTTGAAGAAAGGCTCTAATTGGCTCGATTCTCTCTCCAGCAGAGCATCGCCAGACTTATTCTAAATTGTAGGCTATTACAAAACCAACTGGAACCAGGCTAATAGCGCCGGACTAGGGTCATTTATCAAGGGTGGCTTCACGGCTACACTGTTCAAAAAAGCTGTGAGTCTAAGACTGTGGTGGCAGCTCAGTTGTGGCGGGAAAGCAACAGTAAAAACGTAGCGAGCAGATATGTGACGTTAGCATCGTTTCAGGATTCATCTGCTGGACCTTCAGGAAACAATCTGATGAGCAGTCTTCATTGGCAGCGTCACCGTGGTAACACACATGCATGTCACCATTCCTGTGCAGGGATACATCAGAAGGTGAAAAGGTATTACAACAGAGGTGTGCTGTGTTCGCGTGAACCATCACGGCTGCATGTTTTGTTTAGTGACAGTTGCTAATGTTTAACTCGTTTGTTTTTCAGACGGTTAAATCTCGATGTGTTCAATAGCGCCGCACGGATCGCAGTTATATCCGCAGGCTCTGTGGGTAATCCAGGAATCGGGCCGGGTCATGAAAGTTAACGTCAGGATTAACAGCGGATGGGTGGAATAATATATAATGTATGAGGAAAATGTTAATTACATTTCCTAAGATGTGAAAATATTTTAAACTTTATTTTTCATCAGGCAGGAATTAGACTGTGTTTGCACTGTTGAACTGAGCAGCAGAGGCACTCGTGATTTTAATATCAGGTTGTGTTCAGGCGGTGTTGGAAATACCTGTTGCCTCACCAGGTTCTTTTTACCAAAAAAAGGTGTGGGTCTCCAAATCGTGGAAAATAATTTGTTCAGGTGGGTGGATAATTTATGCATACATGCAGAATCGATGACATCAGAGCTGATCTGCGCATCGTTAATGCAATTAAAGGTTTACAACAACACTCGCAGCCCCCTGAGTCTGTACTGTAATGCTCATTGTGCGCCTGGAAACTGGACAGGAACTTTTCTGAGGAGGATCTTGTCATTTGTTTTAGAGGTAGAGGTGAACCGAGGTGTTGGACACGTGGAAATGTTCACCTGCTGCTGATGCTGGTGGTGTGGATCACCAAAGTCATGAGGGTTTAACCACTGAAAACCCTTCATGCCTCTGCCAAATTTAATGTTAATCCACCAGGAAGTTGTTTAGATATTTTAATCTGGACCAAAGTGTTGAACAGATGGACAGTTGCAGCGGCAGTGCCAACCCCCAGAGCCACACTACTACTGTATTTAAAAACTACTTTCATTCAGCTGTAGGATAAATACCAATCAGCATGAAGTAGATATAATGAAACAGTTGGTCCTTCAGTCCACCTCTGAGTGATCACATCTCAAACGCGTCCTCAGTGCGTCTTGGGTGCGTTCACACCTGAACTTCAGAGCTGTCCACTTGTGATCGGATCACCCGAGACCCAGCGCCTAACGCCGCGCCTCCAATCAGTCCCTGCACTCGCATGTAGTACACTGTGTACACAACACAGTATCCTCGCAAAGCGTATAGAGGAAGTGTTGTCCCAAATCAATCAATCAGTTTTCACAAGTTTGAAAACAACGTTGGTGGTCCCTCCCGCTTCTGCTTTGCAGCCAAGATGGCGTCCGCTGAGGGTGAGAAGTGTCCATCGTTTTACACTCGGTTATTTGACCGGTTTTGAACGCAGCATCCAGGTACTCACAATCCACTGTGCGTTCGCCATACTTGTCAAAGGGAACGCACTTATGCACTCAAAATAGCGAGGGTGAGTATGAGGCTGTTGCATTGTGGGTAACACAGGCCCCAGGTTTTGAAAGGAAGACAAAATTCTGCTGCTGATTCTCTCTTTCTTTTTTATCTGTCCATCATGAGTCCGACAGCTTTACTGTTACATCAGTGACATCGCACTCCTGTAACAGTAGATAGCACTGCTGTGAATGTTGGCTCTGCGTGTGTGTGTGTGTGTGTGTGTGTGTGTGTGTGTGTGTAAGTAAGTGGGTGGACACTTGATACTGTGGACACTGTGTGTGTCCTTGAGTACTATAGGATGTGAGGAAAAACTACTCGGAAGCTAAAGATAGCCAGTGAAAATGCTGAGGGTGGAGAAAATAATGGATTCTGCATGTTTGAGACGGAAGCTTCGCTCTGAGTTACTACAATGTTCTGAAAGACCATTTCAAGTCTAAGTAGGTCATGCAGACGTGGACATATACACACACACACAGGTCATGCACACACACACACACACACACACTTACAGATGATCTAGGGCATGGTAATGGCCCTCTGATGAGAGTGTGTAAAAAGAGGAGCAGACAAGAATGGAGGGAGTGTCAGCTATTTGAACAAAGTGTAGGCGAACAGATAGTTGCTCACTCCTCCGTCCTCCGTCCTCCGTCCTCCACGAGCCGGATTCATTATATTTCATGCTCCTGCGCCACAGTGAGGTTATTATTCTTCTTTAAGTCAGTCATTTGTCACTTCCTGTCACACTTGTTGTTTTTTTCACTGTGTAATTTTTCAATATGTTTGGGCTGATGCCAGTGTTTGTTAACAGGCTGCAAGGAGGAAGCAGGGATGTGTATTTTTTTCGGGTCTCACACACACACACAGACACACACACACACACACACACACACACACACACACACACACACACAAAGCCTTCCTATTCATTTTGGTTCTTAAAGACGAGGTCTGGCATGAGAGACCGAGAAAAGACGTGCACACGTGCAGTCTGCAGTCACACACACACACAGACACACACACACACACACACACACACACACACATGTAAACGCTGCCTCTGCTGACTCACACCAGGAGATCCCTGCTGCTGTTTCTCCTCCGTTTCCCTCTACCCACATGAGATTGATTAGCCATTCGACGTCGTATTTATCACATCTGTCAGCTTTTGTCCTCGTATCGTTCATCATCGCCGCTGTCAACACATCTGCTGTTGGGGGAAGCACGGTGTTAAGTGCCAGCTCTGAAAGAGGTTCCTTCCAGTGTGAGAGATGTGGCCTATTTGAAAAATCTGAGATATTGTCTCGCTGAATGACAGATAAAGTGAAAGTGGCGAAGGGTATTGATTGGCTGTCATTTTGCTTGCAGCCTGGCAACAGCTCTCAAAGTGTGTTTTAACATAAATCCTCAAAACGGTTTCATCCTGTCAGCAGACAAGGAAACAAACAACGCACTTAATTTTGTTTTTAAAACAGTAATTCAGACTTTTCTTTTCGGAAGCTTCCGGCCCTTTTTGTGGCGCTAAATATTAGTTTCGCTTGTCCACATTTATTTAAGGACCACAAAGAGCTGTGGTGCCGGTAAAATGTTAGAAAGGCAGCAAATTACAGGAAATATTGCATCTTTTTTTGTGTTGGCTCATGCTGTTTGTAATTTCTTTGGGTTCATATTTACAGGCACAAAATACAGGGGGGAAGAAAAATATATACATACAGTAGCTACACCTGATTTAAATCAATGGCAAACCACAGCCCCAGAGGAAAATGCACATGAACTTCAGCACCTGGAGAAAAGCAAGATGTGAAATCAAAAATAAGAAGTTAGCAAAGACAAAATGCTTGAATAACAGCAGTAAAGATATAATTAATTATTTAAATTACTTCAATTTCACACTGTATATTCTGAGTCAAGCTCACGTACAACACCCTGGTGCTGTAAATTATCACTATTTTTGCTCAAATATGTATTAATACGCAGCTGCACTATTTACTCCGGTGTGAGTAACTCGTCCAAACTGAAGCATCTCAACAACTGTTTGAAACGATGAAAAGTGAGATCATACCGTACGCTGTGGTGCACGCGAATCAAATGAACTGCAGCTGAGCTCATTTGCATATGTAGTCTCAGTAAATACACAACTAAACTGAAAGATTACAGAGCAGTTCGCTCACTATAATAACCAGTTGGATAGTTTTATTTGACAAATATAAGACCGCAGTCACCAAACCTGACACACAATTAAAATCTTCAAGGATTAAAAAAAGACAAAAGCTTAAAGCTTATTGTGATCCTCGTTAGAGAGAGCGTCCATGTGTTCGCGTTTGTGTGTTTATTCCCCCAAACTTGAAAGCAGCATTACATCACTGCTTCAGCCTTCATTTCCATTACGCCGGCAACATGACCTCCCGCTGTGTTTTTACAAGCGGCAACACTGGCTCAACATAAGTAAGTTCAGTAAAGAGATGTTGCATGCACGGCCTCATCATCACAGAGGGAAACATGACAGTGCGTG